ATGCTTGAATTAAACCAGAATAATAAGGTGCCTGCCAGGGGAGGATTTGAGAGCAAGTTTGAAGCAGAAGGAACAAGTACAAAGCCCCCAAGAGGGATAATCTTGGCATGTTAGAGACCCATAAGGAACCTAGACAACAGTCAGAAGGGGGCGTGGTGGGAGATAAAGCTGATTTGGGTCGGGAAAGGATTTCTTAAACACCCTCGCCCCCTTCTCAGAGTTGAGATGAAGGAGAAGGACACGGACCAAGCCAGGCACGGCTTCTGGCCATGGTGAAAGGTTGTATGTTATTCCAGGTGTAACGGGAAACACACAGTTTTCAAGAGGGAAGATATTTTTCAAATTTTACTTTCTTTTATTTTCTGGCTTCTGTGTGAAAAAAAAAGAGACATAAGGGGCAGGAGCCCTCTTACAACTCTTTTGTAAGGCAGAGTCCCAGGTGCACGAAGGTGACTTGGAATTGGGTGGCAGTGGGACAAGTAGACAGGTATTATGGGATGCTTCCTAGAGACTGTGAGGTATAGGAGTTACGGTCAAGAGCTACTTGGAAAAGTTCGGTAAGAGCAGAGAGAAATTACTCCCTGGGAATGTTCTAGGCCAGTGCTTTAGTGTGCATGTGAATCCTCTAGGGATCTTTGTAAAGTGCAGATTGTGACTCGGGAGGTCTGAGGTGGGGCCTGGGATTCTGCTTGTCTAACCAGTTTCCAGGTGATGTCACAGCTTCTGGTCTGAGAGCCACACTCAGTAGCAGGATTCTAGCACAAGTGACCTTAACTTACATATTTAGTTGTATTTCCTACTACTGTCCTGTGCATACCATGTACAGACCGGTACTGAAACAGTGGCTACATGTTGCTAAATTTAATTAAGCTAAAATAAGACATTCAGTTCCTTAGTTGCACTACTACATCTCAAATGCTCAAAGCCACAGGTGGCTAGTGGCTGCTCTATGGGACATCCCATGGATAACGAACTTGCCCTTATTAAAGAAAGTTTTACTGGGTGGCGCTGCTCCAGGCAGAGGAAACTATTTCTAGTTCTCTACGCCTCCTGTTACCATCTTTCCTTATTCTGTCTTTTCCAAGGAACGCACGTGTTGTCTCTGTTCGAATCAAATGCATCTTTTAAGAACTGTCTCAAATCTGTGTCTTCTACGGAGCTTCCTGGAACTGAAACTGGGTGAGCTGCTTCCTTCTGATCTGCGTATTTGGTTTTTCTCCGCGATGTGTTTCTACTGTATTTTGTCCACCTCGTATTCAAGGTCCCCAGCCCTTTTCTCTGGTTGTAGAACCCCACCTTCTATGGGTGTGCACGTTGGGGGGGGGAGGACTATTTCTCGCTCACGCGATTCCACATGATTCATGTGAGCCGAACGCTGCCCTCACCACGGTCATTAGCACATGAGCCAGAGGAAGCGACGTCAGTGCCAGGACATTGGCTGAATAATTAAGGGCGCTCTCTCAGCGGGGCACCCAGGAGACGAAGACAGATCCTGGACGACGTCATCTCGTGCTTGGCTCTGCCTGTCTTTGGAGCTCCTTCGACCCTCGACCGTTCCTTACCGGCAACAATCGATCTCCTCGTTCCGCTTCAGCCAGGGGGCCACGGTCATTAGCACATGAGCCAGAGGAAGCCAGTGACGTCAGTACCAGGACATTGGCTGAATAATTGAAGGCGCTCTCTCAGCGGGGCACCCAGGAGACGAAGACAGATCCTGGACGACGTCATCTCGTGCTTGGCTCTGCCTGTCTCTGGAGCTCCTTCGACCCTCGACCGTTCCTTACCGGGAACAATCGATCTCCTCGTTCCGCTTCAGCCGGGGGCCACGGTCATTAGCATATGAGCCAGAGGAAGTGACGTCAGTGCCAGGACATTGGCTGAATAATTAAGGGCGCTCTCAGCGGGGCACCCAGCCGGCCGGACGCGAGTCCGGGCCTGGGGCAGCCTTTTGCCCTCAAACGTGGAGCCCTTGGCGTGGGAATGAGAACCGCGGAGAGGAAAGCCAAGCCAGGAGACGAAGACAGATCCTGGACGACGTCATCTCGTGCTTGGCTCTGCCTGTCTCTGGAGCTCCTTCGACCCTCGACCGTTCCTTACCGGGAACAATCGATCTCCTCGTTCCGCTTCAGCCGGGGGGCCACGGTCATTAGCATATGAGCCAGAGGAAGCGACGTCAGTGCCAGGACATTGGCTGAATAATTGAAGGCGCTCTCTCAGCGGGGCACCCAGGAGATGAGGACAGATCCTGGACGACGTCATCTCATGCTTGGCTCTGCCGGTCTCTGGAGCTCCTTCGACCCTCGACCGTTCGTTACCGGGAACAATCGATCTCCTCGTTCCGCTTGAGCGGGGGCCTTGCTGACGCTCGGCCACCCCACGTCCGGCCGCCCGTTCAGCCTGCCAGTCACGCTCGCGCTCCCTTGGTTGCCGCTCACTGGTTCGCAGGAGTCCGCGAGCAGATACCTACCGAAACTACGTGTTTCTTTACAAGTCTTGATAGCCAAATTATTTTGACGTGTTGATAATCAAATGTGATGGAGCCAAACACGATTTTCCTTATATGCTAATGAGATGCTTATGGATAGTTCTCTCCCAAGTTTTTAGCTTGGCACATGCATACTACAAATTGACTAGCCTCTGTACTACGTCACGCAAAACAAGCCCAAACTCCCCAGTTAGCACGTTCTCACTTGCCCGGCTAACCCACAGGATCCTCCAGCGTATTTGTCCTTCAGCCGCCCCACCTCCCGCCTTTGAAGGACGTCTCTGAAAGCCACCGCCCTGGGCGCTGGGTGGGGCCGGCGGGGTGCCTCCAGATCCCGCTCGCCCTCCTGATCAGCTCACAGGAAACTTCTTGGCTTCCTGTGTCGTCTTCCTCTCACTACTGTCCTGTAACATACGGAATCTGACCAGACCCTGCTCCTCCAATTGGCTCAGAAGGCCCCACAGGTACCACACTGTCCGGAAGGTTCCCACACCCCAAACTCAAAGGTGGCCACAAACCCAGACGAACTCATCACCACCCCCGCCTGCCACTTGCTCTCTAAAACTGTATTTCCCAGCTAGCACTGGGCAGAAGGTGGAGTGATTCATTCTTGAAGGAACAAAGAACAGACCCTCACTCTTCCACCCTACCACTCAAAATGTACTAATTCTTGTTGTTTACAAAATAAGACTTAAGCAGCACTCTGGAGGACTACGTACATGGTAAGATTTATCTTTTATTAGAGATCTTATATTACATATTCCCAAAAAGATATAAAATCTTCCAAGAGAAAAATATCAAAACCTATCTCCAAGATACGCAACATAATCAAAATGAAAGCAAAGATTTTCTTCCAAAGGAATGTGAAAACATTTCGACACAAGTACAACAAAGACATGGGAAGGTAATTAAAATGTTTCACAACACATTTTATAGCATTTTATTTTAATCAGTATTTGAAGAAAACAAGAATGCCGAGTTCTCAAACACTGCAGGTAAAGGCTCAAATTACCAAAAAAAAAAAAAAAAAAAAATCACAGGAATGACCTACTCGCTCAACTGAACTCATCTGCGGTAACAAATGTAATAAAACCCAAGCAAACAAATATGCCACCGAGATCACAACTGAAATGTATGGTTTTTAGGTGTGCCAGAGACACTAAATTAATCAGTTCGTGACCACAACCCAAAGCAAAAGCATCCTCTCCTCATTTCCCTGATGATTTATTCTAAAAATAAAAAGCAGAAATTTGCTGGTTTAAAGAGAATTTCTGCTTTACCTGTGAACGGTGGCAACACACACTAAGACCCTGACTGACATGGGACAGATCCATCTCAAACAACCAGAAGTGGCAAAACCACTGTTATTGCATCAAGATTTTTTATTTCAACTGATCAGAATTTCCACAATGATTAAGCACACCCACTTAACCACAGAACACAGTGAACTCCCAAAGGAAGGTTTTACATTTAAGATGCAATGAAAATACTGATCTTATTCCTGGGATTTGCTTCTGGCAATCTTAACATCTATAGATGTCCACAAAAAGGAAGTGTTTTGTTTTGGTTTTTTTTCTTTTAGTTGTTTATCCCCCAAAATGAGGAAGGAAACTTACAGTACATGTTTATTGCATGAAATTACTCCCTTATAATATCTTCATCAACACCAGTATTGTTTCCTTAATTATTAAAGGCGAAAAAAATTTATGAACTTAACATAACTTAGCAATAATTGTAGGAGCTGCATCTTGGTAAAAAAAAAAAAAAAAAAAAAAGGATGATCATCAGACTACCTGGTGAAACAGAAATTAGGTTTCAACTTCTCTATAAAGATGCTGGAATGGCAGGAGGTAAAAGGAAGTTTAAAGTCAGAGAATACTAAATTTATTAGGTAACACAAAGAGAATTTTCAAAAGTGTACATACTCAGTGAATCCTTTCTATCCTAAAACTGAATATTCTAAATGTTTCTAATGTTGCTTCAGTGTTAATGTCATGTTAATCATGATCCCAAATAAATTTTATCAAAAGTACTGTAATGGCACATAGGCTTGGAACTTCACTTTGAGGTTAGCACGTACAAAAGTTTGGAATTCACTCAACACACATGTTCTTTAATAAAAGAAATCAGGATGAGCTACCTATAAGTGGATTTCAAAACAGGGTCCCTTTTAAAGCATTCTTCCATAGAGTTACCTCCTGTGAAACGGAAACAGTGTATGGATTTTGCATGTCACAAAATCCTTGCTTCAAGCTGCCATCTTCTTGGCAGCAGCGGATTTTAATGAACAGTACTTTTTCTTCCTTGTTTTGTTTTCTGACATCTCAGTACATTCAAATAGTCAAAATGTTTAGAATAACATCACCACAAATTTAATGAAACAGATCAGAATGTGGCCAGCATTGTCAGGCAAAACCGATAACACTTTACGTGTCATAGAAAGTACCCACCTCCTCCTCACCCCCGCCCTCCCCCCCTTCCTCAGTCATATGGACACCAAAAGATTTAACAAGACTTATAAAAAAATAAGGCACATTTATTTTGATATGGTTATTTTTAAAATAGAAAACCCCTCTCCGAACATCTGTATTCAAATGAGCTGTGCAAAAAGACACCTTGTGGTACCTAAAAGAGGTTATGGTACCTATGGGATTGCTTTTTCTATCTTAGTGACAATGGAATAAATTGCACCTATCCCACATTGTCAAGTAATGAAAATATGCCTCTTTTTCTACTATTGAATGATTCAAAATCTGCTATTTCTGGAAATACAAAGAGTGAGAAGGGAGGGGTCAAGTGGTACATTAGAAAAAGGTGTGAAGATCAATGATGTACAGATATCATAAGGGTTGATGGATTGCACTTTTCCACATATTTCAATACACAAAATTTTTCGAATGCGTATGAACGATTGCAACCATTTTGGCCATTAGCTATTACCCTTCAGCTTTTTATTCCATTTTGGTAAAAATGGGTATTTTTGTAAAACTAATGAAGGATCAGCAACATGAATACTTATAACAATCTCTTCACAACTCCCGACACAGATATAGTTAGTTAGCATTTAACCTGAGATACAATCTATGGAGAGGTTGTTTTAGACATTTCTTCCTTCATTGTTGCATCGATTCATACTGATGGTGGTGATTCATGGATGGAACTTAAAGAAAAACTGGCTATAGCATGGCTTTTTTTTTTCTTTCTGTACTAGTAAAAAAAAAAAATAATTATAATAATAATTATAATAACAATCACAGAATCCATGTCCTCACAGTAGCCAGAAGCTAAAATAATGTGCTTCCTTATTGCACGTCAAACCAAGAAGTGTATAAAAGACAATGCTTCCCAATCCAAATTTGAAAGCCAGGTTCATCTCAACTGGATTCGGAATGTGCTGATTTCCATGGGACTCAAGTTGATCTCACTTATATTTTGGGCGTCTGGAGGTGAATGCATCAAGGATAATGATGAAGGTATGAGACTTGCGACAGTAAACATGCTAAAAAGCTTCTGTACCAAAATCTAGAAAATAAATGATAAAAAAAATTGCACAGTTAGGTCAACTTTGAAGAAAGATTAGTAGCACATCTATATATTTATTCAGTGGAAAATAGTAGGAGAGTAAAACAGTGTATTTGAAGTTTCCTTTTAATAATAAAAAGAGGAAGAGGAAGGAGATTAGATACAGCTATGTGTGCCTGGACACACAGACCACCCTGGAGGGACACCTAGGAGAAGTGTAACCAGGAGAGGACAGCTCACTCTACATTCTTCTTCTGAATTTCTTGAGAACTTATCACGTGCAGGGGCCACTTTTTCAATAAAAGAAAACACATCTATGAGCCAGCAAGCTTTAAAAACATCCGTATCCTCTTACACCCAACATTTACACCTAACAGTTGTCGTTCTTCTTCTTCCCAAAGAGCTGAGAGAAAGGACACAGGCTCCTCATGTCAGTGAGTCCCATTTTCAGGGTTGGGGGGTTGCTGAGAAAGTACTACCCTCATCCCATGTCTCTCTGGACCATATAATCCCCTTAAAACTTGACGCCTTAATGTCTATATACAAATGCTTACAACCAAGTACACTCACATCATCAGTAATAAGGTAAAGCGTAAATATCATGAAAAACAAACCCCAAACCATCAGTGCTTTCTTCGCACCAATTCCACGGAGGGCATGGTACGAGAAATGAAGAAGCTTATCTGCCTAAGTGGATTTTGACCCCCTACCATATTGTCTTTTCTCTCCTTTTCAGACCCTATGCACATTCTAGTTGGTAGGGTTGGAAATGAATCTCTTAAGTCTGATCTACAGGTTATCTGTGAGGTTTTGGAGAAGAGCTGGGTCAGCTGAGCTGCCCCGTGGGGCAGACCTGCCTGTGTGCCATCCAGCTGTCTTCTCTGAGCACAACCTGCTCAGAGCCAGAGGCAGAAGGCTGGAGGTTCATTTCCTTCCAAGGAGAGCCTGAGGGAACTATCAGAAAGACCAGCTCAAAGGAGACAGAAAAACTGGGCAGCCGGCAGGTCAGCCTGAAGACCTGTTTGGCTGGCACAGTGAGGACTCCTATGCAAATCTGTCTTGATCAGGAGATCTAGACCCTCATTTCCCCTGCGACAACAACTGACTGGAGCTAAGTAAGGTTGCTTCGGGGCCGTGGTGAAACTCCCCGACTGGCCAGTGTCACCACTTCCCTACCCCACCCCACCCCACCTTTAGTTATTATAAAACCTGCTTTTGCCCCTCTGAGACTTCATGGACCTAGATCCTACATGAGCATGTGTGAGAGAGGAGGGAATATTGGGGGATGGGGGGTGGGGAGAGGATGTTTTGTCGGCTGGCAACGGAAGGCCTAGGAATGGAGGAGAATGTTGCCCCTACACGTGCCCATGTTCCAGACGTGCATTTTGATGCTGACAAGGAGAAGAGATCGAAGGTTGAGAAAGTGCTTTCTTAAGATGGAGAGACTTGAGCTAAATTACAGCAGCTGAGGGGAATGAGTCCACGAAGAGGCAATGAAACGTTATCTTATTGTCAGAATGATTAGCAGAAAGCAAGGATTTCAAAGCACATGAAATCAACAAGCAAAAACCACTTTTCAGCTCACCTTTCCCTGGGTTGTGGAACAAAGCAGCCCCGTGTCTCTGCTCGAGAAGCGGCAGTCAAACCCCTTCCTGTGGAGGATCAAGGCTGCCTCATCGGAATGCTTGCCATCCACCTGCAGATGAGCATAGAGTGACAAGACGCCACAGCGACATTAAGGCAAATAGCGACACCACTGTATACTCCACTGTTTTAAAGTCAGCGTCCCCAAACCAAAAATGCTCACTTTATTTAGCAGTGAAGCCAGGAAAATTCATTTCCCCTCCAGTCCCACGTTCACTGTCACACCTGCTACATCCCCTCTACCTCCCCCACAAGGAGGCAGGTGACAATATGTTTTAAGTCACCTCATGCCCTGGTTTCTGGCACAGTCCCCAAGGACCTGCGTGTCCTTTTGTCTACATGCCACATACTGTTTTATCAAAGTTTCTTCAAATAAAGCATTTACTTTTTTTTAATTTAAATTCAATTACTTAACATATAATGTATTACTGGTTTCATGTCTAGGTAGAGGTCAGTGATTCATCAGTCTTATATAATACCCAGTGCTCATTACATCACGTGCCCTCCTAAATGTCTATCACCCAGTTACCCCATTCCTGTAACCCCTCCCCTCCAGCAACCCTCAGTTTGTTCCCTATGATTAAGAGTCTCTTATGGTTTGTCTCCCTCTCTGGTTTTGTCTTGTTTTACTTTTTCCTCCCTTCCCCTATGATCCTGTTTTGTTTCTTAAATTCCACATACGAGTGAGATTATATATGATAATTGTCTTTCTCTGACTGACTTATTTCGCTTAGCATAATACCCTCTAGTTCCACCCACGTTGTTGCAAAGGGGCAAATAAAGCATTTAATTTTTATTTATTTGGTTTTTAACATACACACCAGCTGAATAAAGTGTACCTGAATTTAGTCCTTATCTGGTCATTGAATGATGTATCATCCATCTCAAAACTGAAACACACTTCTTTATTGAATGCTAATTTTTGCTAACTGCATTAACATTTTTAATCTTTAATGCACTGGTTCATTATTTTTTATATAAAAGACATTTAAATTGAGTTAGTTATGCTTATCACTTGCTAGGCCAACCACATTTATTAGCTTGATGTATCATTTAAATTCACATTACAGAAGCTATTCTTCTTGTGCAAAGAGAAAAATACTAAACATGACAAGTCAGCTACAGGGATCAATATATACTTTCTTGCAGTAAAATTTCTTGCATCCATTTAAGTAAAGATGCCAGGAGTGCTCTGAATATTTTAAGTTACAATTCTCTTAATAAATTTTATGTTTCCTCAAGGGGGGAGACGCTTCTGATAATAAGCAAAATAAATTAAGAATCCTTGGACGAATTAAGAAAGGGACAGCTATTCAAAGGAGTTCAGGGTGCTCAGCACTGACCTGTGATGAAAATGATCCCTTTTTCTCCTCTGTGGCCACAGATACGAATATGTCCAAGTTCTTAATCATCTTCACTGGGGGATATGATTTTTAAATGTGCCACAGAGACATCTTTTCTGAGGAGGAGCTGTCAGCATTCTCACCACTGATTTGACTTTAATGTGCCTCAACAATTTAAAGCTGGCCTCACCTCGGATTCTTGGCTGGAATAACCTGCTTTATGATATTTCACACTGGTATTCTGCAGTGGTACTGCTAAGATTTTGTTTGAAGGGAGAGGAAAAAGTCATTTAAGGAATTCTGAGTCATCACAGGACCAACATGATAAACATAGCAAGTTTAAATCATATGACAATGTTTTCTAATAAAATTTCAAGGTGGGGCGCCTGGGTGGCTCAGTTGGTTAAGCGACTGCCTTCGGCTCAGGTCATGATCCTGGAGTCCCTGGATCGAGTCCCGCATCGAGCTCCCTGCTCAGCGGGGGGTCTGCTTCCCCCTCTGCCCTCTTCCCTCTCGTGCTCTCTGTCTCTCATTCTCTCTCTCAAATAAATAAATAAAATCTTAAAAAAAAATAAAAAAAATAAAAAAATAAAATTTCAAGGTGTTTCACACAGTCCCAAAAGAGCATGAAAAGAGCACAGTAAAAAAAAAAAAAAAAAAAAAAAAAAAAATCCTTCATTTATGACATACATAAGGTCTCCAGAAGGACAAGGACAAGTCTCTCGTGTGCTAAGTGTATAGGCTTGGAATAGTTACTGATCACCTAAGCATCAGTTTCTTTGCCTATAAAATGGACCTAATGCAGGTTTCCCCTCTTCATGGAGTCATGGCGTCTAGTAAGACGTTGAAAATACGAGGTAGGGTGGCTTAGCTTATAGGACAGAATGTGTTGGTGTAGAAGCTACAGAAAATGGATCAGAACCTGGGCTGGGAGTCAGGCAGCTCGACATCTAGATCCTAGCTCTGCAATTTCCTAGATGCTTTTAGCAAAACCTGGTTTCTCCTGTAGCATAAAATGGAGATGAAATTCAATTGTGTAACAGAGACTCAGCCCAGTGTCTGCAGCAGAGGAAGCCCTTGGTACATTTTAGCCATTATTCTTTCTGTCATTGTAATCTATCAGATAAGTACTGGTGATTATTTTCCCAATAGCTCACTTAATTTTTTATTCACAAATTTTCTTTAGTGACATTATAACTCTGTAGCTGAGGAATCAGAGACCCTCCAAACTGTATGTCAACAATTATGCATCAAAATCATAACATAACAAAATCATGACTAAGTCCCAATTCAGATTCACTATTTACATGGTCTATTGATGAGGCTCTTTTAAAAGCACTTATCATTATAACCTGAAGCATTTAGCCATTTTAACTCACTAAACCATCCTTACAAAACCACCAGACAGCAGGCTTTGTGAAAATTCCTGCAACACATCTGCTCTTG